TGAAACAAACATGGCCATAGCTAGCCCCCATGTGCTGTTCTAACCTGACTTAGGTGTATGTTAGGTTTCATGCATCTCGGACTCGGTGCGTGGGTATGAGTCCTTATCAGTAATATAGGTTTAAGTAGGTATGTATTAAGGTCCTGTATCAATTTATGCTTCGAAGATTTAGAAAAATGTGAATAAAGTAGTTTGAGTCATCTATTAAAGGCCTTCTGTTTTATTTAGATAAGTAGACCTCATGGCATACGTCTATCAAAATTCCAACGTAATTTACGATGTCCGTCTGAGGAATTGTGTAGTTTGGAGTTAAACTGGACAGTAAGCATTACTTAACAAAATTAAAATTAAAAATTAGATTTAACAATATTTTAAAATTTAATAGATATTATTATTATGTTATAGGGTAAGTAAAAAAAAAATATATGTATATTTTTAATACCTTATTCATGAATTTTTATAAGTTTATCCATGAAATTTATTTAACATGTATCTATTAATCTAGTGTCTTGTATTTATCTTCTTTATTTAATAAAATAATTTTGGTAGATTATATTAAATCATTGAAATTATTAAATATTTTTCAAAATTTTCCCTTTTATACTTAGTCTTTAAGAAAATCCACATAATATGGTACATTCTTAATTTAGTAAGCTTATGAGATGCCTGGTAAATGACTCATATTTATTTAGTTGGATTTTGCAAAAGTCATTAATTGAAAAAATTATCAGTACTTATATTAAATATCAATAGTTGTTAAGTTGAATAGAATATTAAACACTTAACTATACATAAATCGACAAGAGTATCGGATGATTCCGTCTAATCAGGATAGCGATTTTCTCATCGCATAAATTATTTTAAGTACCAATGCAAGTTATTGCACGGCTTTTGTGCGTGACACCTGCGTGTAGAATTTTTATCACAAATTCATGGAATTTAAATCACAAATTCATGGAATTTTAACCACGGTAACTAACCATGATTGTATATAACATACATGATAGAAATGCTTAGGCAAAATAAATAGTTAATTTTGCGGCAATTCACTAAGATTTAGTACCGAAATTTAATTCTTAGATGCTCAGAACAAATGTTTAAGGATAACAAGTAAACGTAAAAGTGGTTAGGATTGCCTGGATATAATATTCGGTGAGTAAAAATTGACAAAAACAGATAATGTATTGTTTTTTCGACGTCTGTAAGAATTTGATTGGAATCGAATAACAATATTGGAATGTAATTCTTTCGGGATATAAATAAATATTGAAAAACCATTTAGTCATTTATTTATTGAAAGGCTTAAATACTCATTCTATCCAGATTGCTTTTACAAAAAAAAAATTGGTTTATCTAAGTTGATTAGATATTGAATATTTTCCACTTGCTACTGAAAGAAATATCTTCGCGAACTGAATAAGAGGTTTAAAAGAAAGGCAAGAATCGTATATCAAATGTAATAAGAACAAATTTATGTAAATTAAAAAAATAAAATAAAAATAAACAATAGAATATACTTGTTAAAAAGTTTCTTTTACAATTTTTAGGTTCACAGATCAATTAAGATGATTAAATATAAGGGAACATCTAATAATTATTGGTGGGAGGTATAGGAGGAGTGAGTTTCTAAAGAGCTTCGAAGAGTGAAAAAAAATATTTGATTCTAATGGTAAGATGGTAACCCATATAGCAGAAAGGCGAAGTAGAAAAAAAAATCAAATGATACGATAAGGTTTAGTGTACTATTTTAATACGGGAGTTGAGAATCAAGTAAGTAAGAATAAATGGGATGTTTTCTTTAAAAATTATATCAACTGTAGTAATAGTTGTTGTTGTAATTGTTATAACTAAAATTATATTAAACAAATAGCTTTATTGAGAAAAAATACTACAATTTTTAAAAAAATTGTATTAAAAAAACATAAATAGTTAGCGTTACAGATATAGTTTTCTTTTTTTACTTAACATTTCTTGTTATCAATTTTATTCATTAAAAAAATACAATGAAATGGAGAAATAAATTTTTCAATAATTGAAATTGTGATGTTGAATAAAATTTTAACAAAATAAATTCCAACAAAATAGCACCCGATTTGGAACGGTTTGTTCATCCTCAATAAAACACAAATTATATATATATATATATATATATATATATATATATATATATATATATATATATATAAAATATTTAAATAATACACTGAAGCTTATCGTCTCATTTGATTTAATTTTTTTTTCTACCTTTATGCTATTCGCTTTTACCATCGTACCATTAGACTAATACATTTTCTTTTTCGTTCTTCGGACCTCTTTAAAAATGCAATTTTTCTATAACTGTAATCTATAATATAAAGGCTATAAAATATTGCTTATAATCACCTTTTTATAAAAAAAAACAAAAACTAAGTTAATGAAATATGTTATATTTAAAATTTCACAATGGCCGCGGTTGATAATGGCTGCACTGATATCGGGATTATTAAAGATTTATTATCAAATCCTATGGAAAACTCTTTTTTTTTTTATCTTTCAATAGTTATAATTATTCCAAAATATTTAATTTTTTTGTATACTATCTTTTTAATGGGCGTATCAAAGCTCAGGATGAAATTATTTCGGTGCAATTATAACTTTAAATAAATGACACAACAGTCAAAGACAAAAACTTTCCACGGAGAATGGTGGATAGAGAACTTTTTTTAAAGAATATCTTCGAATTCAAAATTTTAAATTTTGAGACAGGGTTGAATTTTTTGATAACTTTTTTTACAGTCGGTTACAATAGTATAATATTTAAAATTTAAAAGTCTTTTATTTATGTTTGTTGTTTTTCCCGATTCTCTTTCATTTTTAAGCGTGATTTCTTTCCTCATTTTTATATAAAATTTTTGTATGAATAAAATAAATATGTAAAAGGAAACGTTATATATTTATGCACGTTTTCTAAATTCACTTCACATTATTTTTTATGCTTGTGTGACGAGATAATTAATTCACTGGAGCCCAATATCTATTATTAGATCGTTACAGAAAAAAAGTTCTCCAGGTGTTTCAGTTTGGCAATAAACAGATTTTTTATATGAATATTAATCACATTTAATCAATCAAAATTAGGAAATTAAAATTCAACTACTAGAAGCATGTGGAAGGAAAAAAAGAAAACATAATTCAATTTGCATTTTGTTTGTAGTTAAATAACATGTTTAATCATAGCTAAATAAATAATTAAATGTATTATTAAAGAATCACGGTAACAATTTTTAAATATTTAATTTAAATACTGAGTGATAGCGATTATATAAATGTATTTTAGAGAAATTTGAAAAAATGAAAACTTTAAATCAAACTGTTTTTTAACATTTTCTTTTTTAACTTTATTTCTTCACCCAAACCTGTCAGAAGTACTGAAAAAAGCGTCGCATTATTGCCTATAAAATATTCACTTCAAACAAAGAGTATTGAATTTAAATATAAAAATTGTTATTTTGTAATTTGTTAGTTCAGATTAAGACGTCTTAAATTTTATCAGTCCACCTTCAAATTCAGTAATTGGAAGGGACTAGGGCAACAATTTGTTCAGAAAAACGAAGGAAGTTTTTTCAAAGTAACGCAATTTGAAAAAAAAAATACGTTAATTCAATTATTAACTAGAAGAAACAAACTCCTTTAAGAAAAGAATTTGATTACATTATCATTCAATAATTGATTAAATTCACTATATCTTATGAACTACCTAAGCCAGAACAGAAACACACAAGTTTTCTAATATAAATTTCTCTAACACAGGTTTTCCATATCCATTTGAAATACCGTGAATATTCCCAGTAATGCCAGAATTTCCAGGTCTGTAATAACCCCAATAGTCCGAACCTTATCTGATGAAAATTTTGAATGATTTTGATTTAATATTCATAACATTTATATTTATAAAAATGGGAGTCTGCTAGTTGGATCACGCTGAAAAATGGCGGCTGATTTAAAGAATTTTAGGAGGGTAACTTGAGGATCGAAATGGGAAATGTATTACGAAAGATGTGGGGAAAGGTTTTTATTTATTTTTTTAAATTGTAAATTATTGTATATATGTGTTCTTTTTATTTATTGATTTTTAGATTACTTTATTCTTATTTATTGTATATATATTATTTTTCTATATAATTTATTGTATATAGAGTGTGAATGTGATCTCTCAACACTATTATAAATGTCCTTGAGACAGATTGTAATATTTTCCAATAAATAAGATTAAAAAAAAAAAGAAATTGTAAATATGGCTTTAGACATGTAAAAAACGAAATTGTTTATGCGACCCACCAAGAGAAAATGTTTTACAACGAAAACAGCCAGATTTTTTTTTTATTTTTGCGCCTACAACTCCTAAACGATGCATTGAAAAACGTATTCTTTAAGAAATTAAAGAACGTTAAATCGTACGTCATACGAGTACCTAACCTTAATAATTTGATCAAGTAGTATAGACGATAAGCAAGGTATACGAACGCTTATTTTTACTAAATCTGTCTAAAACTGAGACAAATTACTATAAAAGGACATGCAGCTAGGAAATGTTTCCGAAGAAAAAAGCTCATGGTTTAAAAGTTGTAGAGACTCCAATTCCGCGTTCACTGAGTACCATCAGTTTTATAAGATGTCAATTATATCTTTCGAATATAAATACATTTCCCGTTTCCATCCTCAAGTTACTGGACTAATATTCTTTAAGTCAGCCGCTATTTTTTCAGGTAGGATGATCGGACTAATATATTCCTATTTTTAACATAAAAAAAAATCATTAAGATTATCAGATAATGTTAGTTTTTATTGCACTGGCTCTCGGACTATGAGTATTATATTTTTAGCCAATATTGCTTGCTATCTTCTTAATGTCGACAACAATTTTAACCATGAAATTCATAGTTTTTAGTCGGCCGAATTCCGTATGATTGCGTTTATAAATATATCCATTTTCTAATGAAAAATATTTTTTTCAGATTTCCTCAACGACTACCGAAGCCTCGAGGCCTGATATGCACTCGACCACACAGCTGCATGCAAGTGCACAAGAAGTCGCGACCTGTCCCAAGACAAAGGAGCGGCAGACCTCTTTGGTCTATTGTCGCTCCAGCGGCCGGTTCATCGCCGTGGAAATGCGGCGGCACATCTAGAGGGCTCTCCTCTACAGCTGCTCTGGGTGGGTCGTCGTAGGTGAGGTTCTGTCTACGAACTGTTGGGGAATTGGAAGTGGAGTATCCCACCGATAATAATTAAGCAGTGTAATCCACCAATATTTTGATAATAGTATATTTTTAAAATAAATATATAATATATGAAAAAATAAGATATGTCCCGAAAAATACAATCTTATTGGTACTGGTAGAGACACAGGCGGATTTACGGGGAGGTAAAATATAACCATGTTTTACAGAAAAAAATATTAAAAACTATCTCTTTAAGTATTCTTGTTCGTGTAATTATATTTAATAGGACTTTAAGAACCACTTAAACACCACTTCATATAGGTAGTTAATTTCTTTCTTTTTTTTTCTAATTAATTATCGTTATATGTATATGAAAAAAAAATCTTTCGGGCTGAAGCCTCCCCGCCCCCCAAAAATAAAATCCTGGATCCGCTAGTGGGTAGAGGTATATCACGCTCAAATTCTTTACCAACGACCTTATATATTCTTTGAATGTGGATTAATAATAAATAATCAAGACGGCAAGAATAAATATAATAAATAAAATAAACAATTCAGTTTTGTATACTCTAAAAGCCAACGGAAATGCAAGATCAAGACTCGTCTTACTCAGAGTCTCGTATTAGTGTTGCAGTTACCTATTAGCTTATTGCGATCTATTACAAATGTAACTTTAGATCTTATAGAATAGGTACATTTAGAAGCTTTACGTACAAAAACTTTTTTTTTTTTTTTGACCTCCTTCCTGGCATTTTTGCCAGACGGGGTAACGTACATAAACATAATAAAGTCTAAACGAGTTAGTACAATTAACTTGCCATTACAATAAAGACTTTTTCAAGAAAGATAGTTTAGGTCCCCTCCCCCCCACCTTGGAATTGAACAGTTATGGGGTACAATTTCTTTGATGGACTAAATCAATGTAAATGGGCAAATGAACAATCATTAAAAGCATTGAATAAAATTCAATACACTGTAACGTTGCTTTAACACGATTTTTTATAGGTTTGTCAGAAATTTAATAACCTCTTAAAATTTTTTACCAATACATACTATAGAGATGATACTGTCATATTTTAGATTGGGGAAACCTAACTAAATCCCGAATTAAAAATTGAATGAGTTAAATGCAAAACTATATTGGTTATACCAGTTCTTTACATATAGTAAGTAAAATTTTGTCTAGTATTAGTAAACATTTTGTCTTTATTTTTATTTACAAAAACACTTTTTTTTTCCAAGTACTCTTGGTCTTGATCATACAAAGACCGATTGTGGTCAAACATCACTAACATTGACTATTTTGTGGGCTAAACAAGTACACATAGGCAAATCTCCCTTAAGCCTGTCTGATCCATAATTAATCATAATATTTTAGTAAAGAAATAGTTAAATGGGTGGTTGTGAACATATGCCTTACATTGTCACTAATAAACTCATCCATAACGACCTTAATGTTCCTGATATTTCCGGTTTGGCCCAATCAAGATACCTATTCTTCCATAATACTTCAAAACCATCTGAACCCTCTCGTTTCTAACCTTTCTTCCTCTTCGATCCCTAATACCCTCGGTTATAGGTAAATAGAAATATAATATAAGTAAATAGGGTTTCATTAATTTGAACTCTATGTATACGATTTGAACACAATACAACACTTACCATGCGTAGCGAATTGAAAAATACTAAACAATTATCAATATACTCAGAATACTCGATTTAATATTCAATTTTCCTGGGTTTTTTGATTGGTTAGTAAAATATTGAATGATGATACTCACAGTTGTAAATATGAAAGTTGGAAATAGCTTTGTTATCTGTAAATCGTAATCGGCTTGAAGATTAGCATCCTTTACAGGACAATAAAAAACATAAAAAGAGGAAATCCTTCAAAGCGTTTATGCGTTTAGGCGGGTTCTGTCATAAAATTCAGAAGATAAGCAAGTGAAATTGAAGATCTCTTACAGATTACCACAATTTCAATAATTCCCTTTGATAGCTCGTCTGCTTTCTAACAGATTTCTACCGTTTACTATCCTCCGATGAACAGCATCATATTTATATATTTTTTCTCTACGACTTTGCCTACAGGTCAAAAGTGAACACAAAGTAATTTTGTTTTAGGTATTGTTATCATTATTTGTACGTTTTAGGGATGATATATAACTCTCCTCAGTATGGAATTTAACACTGAATTTAACTAACAATAAGCTGGGTAAATTACTTTTTTTTAAACTTATTTCTAAATTATTATTCTACTTCCAGTAATCAGGTACTATCAAGATGTATTATATGTTGAGATTCATTATAATACTTTATTTTTGGAGTATTTTTAAAAGGCCACTTTCTGTTTCATTTTTTTTTAATATAAAAAGCTCAGTTAAAAAGTTCGTGAAATTCCGCAAACAGATAAAATACAATACCTTGGACTGACATTCGACAGAAGAGTGATATGAGACCCACACATCAACAAAAAAAGAATAACGTTAAACTTCAGACTACGACTATTATACTCAATTCTAATATCACACTTAAAATTAAAATTAAAATAGAAACTAAATACTTACATTTATTTATAAATGGACCTACGCTTCACAAATATACGGAACAGCCAAAACGACCCGCATACAAAAACCATATACTTTTCAATCAAAAACCTTTAGGACCATAACTAAAGCTCTATCGTACGTCATAAACATTACTTTACATAAAGATCTAAACATGCCAACAGTCACAACTACATACGGACCCACTACAAACAAATTCACAATAACTTACATAGAGACACTAACACACTGATACAAGACATAGCCACGATTAACATGCCCGAAAACACGCTTCGGAGGCTCAAAAGAAGCTGGCTGAGAGATTTTCTTACCAAAAAAGATATACTACATTTAAATAAAGAATTGATGCCGCTGTGCACTCCTTCTCTTCACGGAGATCAAACAACTATAAGTATTTTTCCCGACAGCAGACTCACTATTCGTCAGTACTTCTGACAGGTGTGGGTAAAAAAAAATCATAAAAAAAAGTTCAAATGTTAAATACATAAGCTTTGTTAAAATTAATAAAATATTTGCAGTTAAAATAAAGTGTTAATGGCTTATTTCTATCCATAAAACTTTTTGAACTTAAAAAACAATATATAGGTAAATTTCTTTTTCTAATAATATAATATAATTATAATAATAGTGTGATGTCAAACACTTAAGCATAGTATACAAATCATATCATGTATATTAACAGAAATATTACTAAATATATAATGACCTCCTTAAAATCCTAACAGCGGTAAGAGAAGAATTGTCAAGACGCAAAAACATCAGAAAATAAATAAGGGACTACTAAAAAAAAAAAAGATAACATAATGTAAACAAGTAAAAACTCTCTTAGATACATAATACCTATGTTAGTTAATAATTGGATATTTACAAGATTTTTAGCATAACGATTTTATGAATATTAACAGAAATAAGCATAACTAACGCTGCATTAGCTCATCGCTCTAAAATATTTAAACATGAATTTGATTTTAATAATATCTGAATGTTACTGAACGAGAAAATAATTCTAAGAGAAAGATATTTGATGTTATGCATATTGGACAGACGTTAGATAATGCTGTTTATTATAGAACTGGCAATAGAATTTTAGAAAACTTTTATTCTGAAGCATTGAACATCTTAGATAAGTCTATTAAATCTAGCTAATTTTGTTCTAACTTTGCCTGCGGGATCAGCTGTTTTTGTTCATTATAATCTTCCTTTGATGTGCATTTTTATTTCTTCTTTTTTTTTATTTTTGTTTTTATGATGTTTTTCTTTTCTTCTTCTTCAATATATTTTTTGTGGAATATTTATGTATTAAGGCTGATAGCGACACGTTTTACATATATTTTTTTCTGATCACAGCTGTTTTATTATTAGCTCACTCAACTGGTTTACTTCACTTTTCTTTCAGTATGTGATTGGATGAAATGGAGTGTTGTAATCTTGGATTATTTTCTATTCCGATGATGCCTCAATTTGCAAATTCTTTGCCTTATTTTCAAGCTGTGAGTGAGAATAGAAATCGTCTATACTTACAAATGTAAACTAGAATTTAACTTTAGCAATTATTCCATTACTTCTTCCCAACATTACAAGCGAATAAATATCTACACACATAATTTATAAATATTATAGTATTCCTAAAGTTAAGTCCCTTTTTTTCATCCAATATATCCATCAACTTCAATATATAATTTTTCATATTTATTAAGAATGACGCCTATATACTGTAATAATAATAATATTTATTATAAATCAATTTTTAAATCTTTATTATATAGCTAAAATAAGTATTTAATAAATAATAATTTTGATTGAAAAACACCATAGACGATATACTTTTAAAATTTTTTTTTTTTCTCGAAATTTTAGAATTTGTAGTTACCTTCTTTTAGTTATTACTTATCGTTTTACTTAATAATAAAATGTTAATTATTTGTTTTATTTTATTTTTTAAGACTTTCCTCATTTTTTAAGGTTTTATTATAAATGACATGTTCCTATAAAATTTAATTTTAAGTGTTACAGTGAATTATACTAGTAATTATTCTCATACCATTTCTTAAATTTAATTTTGGTTTTTTTGTAAATATAATTTACTCCATTATCAGAGGAAATAATAATTCTTAGAAATAATCTTATTCGCATTTCATATTATTTATTCCGATGGATTAAATTTTATTGAATTTTTTTTAACTTTTTTTTATTTAAATAATTTTTAAAGTCAGCAATAAAATGGCATAATTTTTAAATACAATGACTAATACCGCTATGACAACGAAATCAGTCAAAGATTAGAATCCAAAAGTCAAACTGCGGCCTAACACGCAAGCTGTGTATGCCCCATACGATAATGTAACTGGACGGACGGACTGAATAAATTTGTGGGGCCATACGTTGTGTTGGCCCAATCTGATAATATTTAGATAAAGCTGAGCTACCAAATTAAACCAACGCTGGCCTAGAATTAAATAATCAACCAACGAAATATGCAGTAGTTCTAAAAATAACTTTTGAATATGTATTCATGTCTTCAAGCCTATATTATTTTTTAAAATATTAAATCTGAAATAATATATATCAATTTTTTTACGTTATCCTTCGATTTAATTGAATGATTAACAAAGTGACATATTAGGAAAAAGATAGATCCTTCAAGAGATTGAGGGGTAAGGGACTCGAAAACAAAAGTAAGATCAAGAAAAAAGAGTAGCCATGTGAGTGAATAAATGAATAAACTAAGGAAATAATCAAAATATTTTGTCGGGTAGATGATATAGTAGCTTATAATTCAAATTTGAATATCCTTAGAGTGTGCAACGAATTTTCTCACGGTCAATAATTATTTCAATATTTTTTAGTAGTAAAAGTATTATAGAGAATCTCATGAGTATTACCGAAATTTATAAATTAATTACATCGGTTCTTGCTTAGGAGGTAATGTCTATTGAAAATCGTAACTACTTAAGCAGTTGACAATGTTTCATAATTAATTCTCCGTTATTATCAAAAGTCTTGCTAATAACAAAATTACAATTTTTCAACAATTGAACAATCATTTTTTATATTGTCCTCTTGAAAAATTATCTATAACTTTCATAAATTAAAAGCATCGCCTCTAACTGAATACCCAGTAGTTACTATCAGCAGGATTTTTTTCTCAATATATGATGAATTTTTATTTTTATTTTCCAAAGATAATAGAACATTGGATCACATTCCACCGAAAAAAAAATTGAATATTCATGTATTACAATTTTAATTATTAGTTCTCGCATTTCCTTTGCGAAACTCTGCTACATATAAAAATTTCCAAAAAAAAAAAAAAAAAAAGTATAATGAATAAAATACTCTATAAATTGTTGATGTTAAGGTTTGTATATAAACATTTTTAGGTTAATTATTAAACTTTGGGTGGAGTCCATAATAATAAGCTTTATTGATATCAATAAATTTGCCAAAATCCTCTCCGTTAGTGTGAAATTTTAGCAGAGTAAGCTGCAGCACAAAAGAGTACATATTACCACTTATTTTAAAACATGTAAAATAAAACAGAACATATCAGATTTTCCTTCATAGAATAACGATTTAAGGCATAAGATAAAACAAAACCGTACAACAAAACAACAACAAAGACTTTAAAATCACACGGAATATTAAAACAAAATAAACTAAATATTATTCACATTTTTCCATCTGGTTCTATCCCTAGCCACTATTACAGTATTGACTCTACTCAAAGTTTAAATCAAATCAATTCTACTACCAGTAATTTAATATATTGAACTACATCATTAAATATGTATACATTTCGATAGTTGACACATTATATATCATTCAACAATAATACATTAATTTTGATCGGAATAAGGTTTATAAGATATTTGAGAATAGATAATAAGACTGTTATCGAATTTCTCATCCGCTTTCAACGACAAATTGCACGAGGTTCACTTAGGCGAGAAGATTTCACATATCCGCCGCTACTGATAATTTCAAACGATATTAGAAACCGAATAAACTATTTAAAAAATAATATAACGGTTGGGAAACGAAGAAGGTGTTGAGCATATGACAATATTAGTATATGAACTCAATTTGATTTATTAAAACCAGTTTTCATTTTTATAATCTATTAATTTTTAAATAAATATTTTATCTTACAATTTTATTACAAAGTTCCGTGATTTTTTTTTATTTTTACAGTAACAGTGATTTTGAGTAACCGATACTTAAGCAGTGGAAATCATGTGAAGTTTACAAATAATTCTTTTATTGCATAATTATTTCCCTAATAATAAATAAATGTAACTGACTAACGTAAACGTAATTTTGTATTTTCAAACTAAGTTCCTGGAAACAGATTCCTATGCAAATGGCATTTCTTTACATTGCACATCAACAGCTTCCTTTCTTCTGACTCATCTATATTTGATGAGCGTTATCACATTTCGAATGAATACTCGATGGCTGACCGAAGTATAATATTGAGAAAAGAAATGGTCTCGGGTGGTAATAATAAAAAAAAAAAAACAAAGCAGTGGAATTTTTTTAAAAAATTTTGTGGTGGTAAAAACACTTAAAATAATAAAAAAAATAATTTTTTTTAACCGCCAGCCTTGACCATTCTCTTTTCTCATTATTAAATTTTATAATTAAAAAATTTAGACATGGGGTATACGGGTTGACTGTTAAAATTTAAATGATGAAAAAATTGTCAGAATGTGCAATCGAAAATTTCTTTATATAGTTAGCCGACGTTCCGACCCAAACATTTGGGTCATCAGGGCTAAAAATTAAAAAATAATAACATTAGAAAAATGGTAAATATAAAAGTATATAAAAAGAAAAAGGAGGAAGCATTTTTAAATAAGAATATTTCTTCGTATTTGTAGGTTACACATTTTGCTATTCTTATACAATTATATTTATCATTTCTCTGATGTTATTTATTACTCTTATTGTTATTATCTTGTTTACTTGCTGGTATTATAATTATCTTACGATTGTTATTTTTTACTGCTGTACGTCCATATTTCTCATGTTATTTTATATTTTTTTTTAATGTTTAACCTAGATGATGATCCATAACTTCGGATCAAAACTTCGACTAATCCCTAAAGAATTTTTGACTGCAATTCAGAACGTTCTGAAATTTGTTCTATTCTTATAATTAAGAAATATACACAAATCAACTAAATTAATTTTCGAATAATAATGTGTGGTTACTAACATATGAGTTGTTTATTTCTAAAGTTAACTCACCGTTGAAAAATTTTCAGAAAACTGGAAAAACTATAATTTTTATTCCAATCGTAATATATATATATAAAACTACTGATTATTTCAATATTAAATAAAAAATATTAAAGTATAACTAAGGCTGCTTTTGGAAAGAATTAAATTTCAATGTCGGTTTTTGAATAAAAAAAGTAAGATTGGGATTCGGTTTGGTGTGAAAAAAAAAATGTTCTAGGAACAAAAATTGTACTAGAACAGTTTTACTTTTCGTTTACAATATTGGTAAAATAAAACATATTTCATTAGAATGAAACGGTTAAAAAAACTTTTGATGAATTGTTTTATTAAGAATACTTAAGTAATGGATGTTCCATTTTATAAAAGTATAAAAATAATTATCTTCACGCCACTTTTTTTTTTAAATTTAACTCGTTTTATTTTTAGAAAAAATAGTTACATCGGATTTATTGTTTGTTTTTACAAGAGATTCGATAATCATTCACGAATACCAAATAAAATCTTCCAAACAGTGTTCACATTGCAAATCAATGATTTATGTGATTAATAATGCTTAAATGTCCTTGATGTGACAGAATGTGATATTTCTAAATAAACAAATATAAAAAAAAAATAAAAAAAAAAATAAAGGGTATTAATTAATAATAACCGTTATTCTCTGAGATCATATTAAAAATGCTCCATATTTTCTTATGTGCCCAATAAAAATGGCGAGTAAGCTTGTTCTATTTGGCAGTTTTTTTTTGTGTTTTTTTAATGTAAAAGTTCGAAATTTTGTAAAAATTTCAGATGGAAATCCCCGTGCTCTAAAGCTGGTAAGTGGAGCGTAAAAGGTCAGCTCTATTGCGACCTTTCTGGCTAGTCCCGAATTCGGGGCAGCGAGAAATCGCACGGGAAAGTTTATATCGATCCTTATAGCATTAGATACATCATAATCCTTACAAGGATCACTGCTAACAGAACAAGATAAATAAAATTGTCACGAACTATAGGGTAAAAAAAAAAAAAAATGTGGAGAGGCTAGCAGCAAAGGTTATAGAACATCTGTCGGATTGAGCAAGTCCCCTGAAAATGGTAATGTATAAAAAGAGGTCCTGATGAGAATAGAAGACAATGGTCCTTGCGGATTCCATGGAAACTGGAGGACGTGAGGACACCGTCGCTGGAGGACTTAGTTCCTCACACACGCCTCCCGTCTTATCCAGAGGACTGTTAGTGTTTGCTATGTAATTCCAACCGTCCTGTAAATACGCTAGGATTAACATGTTCTCAGGGCTGCCTCTACAGGATCGTCAGAAGAAATATCCTTTTTATAAATATTAATATTTTTTTATCAAGGAGCATATCTTTTATATTCATATTGAATTCAGCTATGGAAGCTATGGAGGTCCTGATGAGAATATTGTACATTCTAATGGGCTTTGTAAGTTGTGAAATTTGATAAGGAGGAAATTTTAACATTATACATTTTTTGGCTATCTGTCTAGAATAGAAGAATTAAGGTGGATCACAAGAACAGTTTAAGTAGATTAGAGTTAAATATTTAAATAGAATAAAATCGATTGTTATAATCGGTTATTCTTATAGAGGTACATATTTTAGCTAGTTAAATAATTCAATAGTTTATTAAAAATTTAATTTTTTTTAGGTTTTGGAATATTTTTTTATACCACTCTTGGTTGGTTTTTTTAAACCTAGCTTTATTACACATCCACAGTATTAAATAAATTACCACTCAAAATTGTTACTTCAGAGGCTTTGGTATGTTGATAATATAGTGATCATTCTTGTGAATACTTATTTACTTTATTTATATATATATTTTTTTTATTTATACATGTTTTGGGCTCTTCAACCACTTGGGTCATTTTCGCCCTATATTACAATTTGAGGAATTACTACACACATAACTCAACTATAGCTAAGAAATACAATTTAAATTTTGAAAAGTTAAGAATAATTACAGATGATTATGATAGTACAATTGAACTAAAATTATAAAAATTGAAACTGAAAGATTTAATAGAAGATGAGATAACAGAGACAATAAAGATTAATGATATTAAGAATAAAAGCTAAAAAATACACTTTTAAATAATAAAAATTAATACTAATAGAGGCGAAGTTAAAGAATACAGTTTAAACATTAGAAAGTACAAGAACCATTAAAATTAAACAATAAAGATTGGAGAAATATAAGTTAACAGTTAACAAGGACATTTAAATAAAAGGTTAATGATTTCAGGAATATAATCTAAAAATACAGTTTAAAAAACAGAATTAATATTAAAAGAAGAAAACTTGGGAAGTACAATTTAAATATTAAAAATTGCGAGAAGAAAAATTGAAAAACCATTATAGTTAAAAGTTATGATTAAAAGAGAAAAAAATAACAGGTATATTACAATTTAAAGAGGAACTTACAAACTTAAAAAACTTAAAATTTACAATTACAAGGTGTGATTAAATTTTGATAAATATTTTGATTTTCTTAAGGAACAATATTAAGTTTTTAATAGCATTGGGGTCCTTTTGGAGTGATTCTTCAAGGCACTTTCTGAGAAGATGTTGATCCCTAGAAGATTGGAATGCATAACATTCGGTTAGGATATGGTTCACTGTAAGAGGTACCCCGCAGGAAAGACATTGAGTGGAGACTTTATTTATATAAATAAGTCTTTTCTAGTTGGCCCGTGCGAAAAATTCGCAAACAATTTTGTTTAGTGAAGAAATAGTAAAACAATATGGAAATAGTTCCATAGTAGGAATAGTAGGAACATAGTAGTTACTAAGTATTATGTAAGGAAGGAATTAATGTTTTTTCCTTAGTCGATTACAATATTTCATTAAACATTATAGACCAAAATATTTATACAAATTTGCTTTGCTAGGACCTATTTTTAAACGCTGACTGGAAAGATAATAAAAGTAACAAAGACAAAATAATGCCCCGATCATAGGATATTCTAAATTATTAAAAAAAAAATAAAATAAAATGTAAGAACAACCTAATGTCTTTAAGAAATAATAAAGTTAATATAAAAGTCAGGAAAAAAAATATAGTAGACTATTCTACTCCTAAACAGAATATATTTAAACAGGAAAACATTATTAAGTATGCCAAAACTAATGGACTGTATCTTAATAATTGTCCGATGTTTACAATTTGTTTTGGTTTTGTAGGTAATTTAGTAATCTCTCTAATTATCATGGGTACAATCAAGAAAAAAATGCATACTTTTTGAGTTATTCGCAAATAAAGTTTCGTTTCCTCCATTACTTTTTTTCCAGAAATTTCGGAGAGATGGGTATATTTTTCGCATGGGAAGGAGAAGAATATCTTCAAAATGAGTGGTGAATCATTGGATTCTTCGAAGAATTTACGAAATCATGGCGTACCGACAAAAAACACTTTTTAGAAATAATATATAGGATATTAACGAGGAACTAAATAAGAACCTGGGTGGATAGGTTTACTTTGGTGAAAATTCACCACAACTAGAAGATCTAAAAATTATACGTTTGTATGTCCTTCTCATCCGATAATTATTATTTTTAAATAAACAAAATTCGAAATAAATTCATATAAAGGCCGTTAGAAGCATTACAATTAAACGCATTAGGTTCCATGTACATATCAATTATAATTAAAAATAATACAAAGACGTAACATCAACAAGGTTTTATTTTATTCAGCAGTGAATAAAATTCCATAAAATGAAAATAAAATTATTCACCCCAACTGCACACGCTGGAGTGGTCGCACAAAGAGATGTTTTTATCCGTCCGCTCCAATGCGCCCATGTTTGCGATTTGAAGTAATTTACCGAACAATTAACGAACGATAGCTCTTTTTTTATTTAATATTTTTTTTTTATTATTCGTTATTTAACAGTTATCTGAACCGTGGGAAAGCGGTAAAAATAATAATCAAAAAGGTAAATTACAGAGAGAATTTAGAATTATATTAACAACTGTACTCACCATCAATAACATGTTGACCTAATTGTGTTTTTTATTAATTGAAATAAAATTAATTAAGCATGAGTATATTCTAAATTTTATTTTGTAAAATATAGGATTTAAAGTATTCAACAATCATAAAGTTTTATTAAAACTTAATAATACAAATATAGATTAGGACACGAATTAAACAACAAAGTAATTGTTTTGTATATAGTTTCGTTTGTTTTGTATATAGAATGTTTACCTTATATTTTTTTTACATTATATCTTTTTTTCGATTGATTTTATTTTGGCCAGATGTGATCTTTTAATTTTGTTCTATTTTGTTATTCTCAAGGGACTGTGTCCTAGAATAAAATTATTTTTCTATCTATCTATTCTATCTAATTTATACCAATTATAGAACAAATTCTAAAAATGCACTTTTATTTATTACCTACAATCGTACCAGATAGTTTTATTAGTTATGAAAAAAAAATACTCCAAATTATAAGACAATGATTTATTATTTCTGAATGGTTGTATATAAAGAAATAATGTATTTATAACATTATTAGAAAATAAAACAAGAACAAAAATAAAAACAAACCGGTGGAGCAAACATTAAAAAAGTTTGACTTACCAGGCTATGTAAATATCCAAATTACTTTTTAAATAATCTTAGTTAATATTTAATTATTTAAATCCGAATCGTAGCTAAATTTATAAAATTTTATTTCCGTAAGTTTAATCAACCCGTAAACACTATCCGAAATATTTGGAGCGGCATGGCAATTCTATCATAAAAGTATGATTAAAAAGTTGTTTAAACAACTCCAGTAAAATAATTCGATAAATATATGAAGCTATATTTCCTCCTCTGTGTGTATGTGAACAGCGTTGTGTAAGAACAGTGCTGTTCACATACACACAAAGCATTTTTCACTTATAATTTTTCTATAAGAATTCAGGAGTTTTCGTTGAAAATTCGGATTTACAATTTTTCTTAGCCGCATACTTTCCTTTATTATATATTTCATATATAGGAGAGTGAAAGTAAAAAAAAAAAAAAACTTCGATTACAAAACATTTTTATTTTTTATTATCTTCGTAAATTCCCCAGATATGGAAAAGTACTACTAATTAAGCAATAATACAAATAAGTGTAACTCAATCAGTAAGACATTTTGTTTTTATAAAACCGGGTTGGAGTCCGGGATGACAGATATTTATTTATTTCATTGTACCGGCCGTGAATCGACACTACGGTCGAGATATCCTTCCGATGCACACCCAACCTCTTTAATGTGGATGCACAAGCTTGCACAACCTTTGATTAAGTAAAAGTACTTGCTTGTGAAGTGAAGTATCCAAGACGTGGGTTTTAGCGCTACAGATATTTATTCCAAACAATAATTAGGGTGAACGAAATGGTTTAAGGCCCAACTTGTACATCAGTGGGTCCCAAATGGAAATAATAAGCATCCTTGTTGATTTAAAGGTTCCCGTTTTTTTCTAGATTGAAGAACAATGCCCTCTATTGGCAAATGTATCAATAAGATTCCCAAAATAAAATCTTAAAATGCCTATCATTGTTGTTTCTATAGTGCATTAGCGATCAGTGTGTTTCATAACTCCCCACTTACACTTTTGCTAAGGGTAAGTTGAACATTTATGTTATCTTATATTTATAGTTCAATAAAGTTTTCAGTTTATTTCTGAGGTATGTCTATTACTGGTACCGATCCCTTGTCCAATAGTAGAATAAATGAATTTAGGGGTGTCCATCATTCGTGCAAAAAGATTGTTTATTTTAAATGGAGATTATACCTGTATAGCTAAATATTTTTTTAATTTCAAAGTGTTCAATATAAAAAAAGAGCCCTAGAACCTCTAAATATCCAAAGGAGGAGTTTATAACTATAATAATTACAGCGGTATAAGCCAAAAAAGACAAAAAATTTCCTTAGCTATGCCCATCACTGATGTGCTTATCCTATTAAGTAATTAGTACATAGAAGTCGAAAAATCAAGTAAATATTTTTTTAACTCAGCCTAATGTATTAAAAGTACTAACGTTTAAAAAAAAAATATATACTGTTTTTAATTTTTTTTTTATTTAAGAATAAGTTGTTCTGTCCCTTACAGCGATAAGGGTATTGATAAAGATCTGCTTGGCATCCTCCAACTGTTCATGTCACAGTAATTCTAAAATAACATCCTTAAAAAAAATTTATAAGAGAAAACATGAAAATACTATAATTCTATTCGAGGCAATTAAATATAATGATTGTGTCATTTTACTGGATATTAAAGAGTT